TAAAAATATAATTTTAAATGATCATATATCTTTCTTGTCATAGCAATGTCAGAGATCGCTGTTAATACATCGATTGTCAATTGGAGTCACTCTCTACTCCAACCATAATTTATAGATATCCGTAAAAATGGATTGTTCATAAAAATGTATCCATAATAGAAAGACCAAGAACAAAATATTTGATAACAAAAAATTAAATATGAAAAATTTTCTATTATAATATATAATATTATCATATCATTTTTTTAGGGCAAGGTTCCCATGACATTGGTTCCCAATGTCATGGGAACCAATGTCATGGGAATCAAGGTGTTTTTTTTATATCCACATCAATATTATGTAAATCCAATGGCACGGGATCCAATGGGTCAGTTATGATACTTATGATAATGCTCCCACATTCCCAAAAAATGGCACACTTCAACCCACAGATAAATAAAATTTTTATATTTATACCAATTTTTAAATAAAATGAACTGAAAAAATTTAAAATTTCATTTGACTTTGCGTAATTTGATATTCTTGTTTGGACGGAGAGAATACATCTGTCCTATAATCAAAAGACAACAAATCCCTTGACTTCAATTATCTATATTTGACCTGTAGAGCCATTCCAAAACCAGGGACAACTCTTCTGTAAGATAGAAATAAATAAATAAATGAACAAATAAATAGATAGCCAAGTCTGGGAAGATCGAAAAACTGTCACCACTCTCAAATTTCTACTACGTATATTATTTGCCTTGCTTGCATACCTCTATTTTTTTTCCTTCTACCACCACTATTTATAATAAGCCTGGGAATGTATAAAAGCAGAAAAGAATAGGGCGTGTTTGGTTACTCTCAAAATAACGCCATCTTGGGACCAACCAAACACACCAGGTGTTGTGTATGTGTGTGTTTATATATATAAATATGTGTATATAGTAAATCTAACCAAACATGGTCTTCTTCATCTCCTCCTCTCTACTAGAGCTTATCTGCAATCTTCCCCAGGGCATCAGAAAGTTTATTAAGAACCGAAATTAGGCTATTCACATGGTCCTTACGCTGCTCCCGGTCGAGCTGCATGTGTTCATTCTGAGCCTCCAGCTGTGAGCTCAGCAGCTTCCCATTCCTCTCTAGAGCCTTCAAAAGCTGCTGCTGCAAATTCTCTGTTTCTTCTTCTTCTTCTTCTCCGGCGCCTGTCACGTTTCGTTTCCTTTTTCGCCCTTCTGGGCCACTTCCAATGCCGGGCTCCGTGGTGGTGGGCCGTTTCTGATGGATCGCGCCTGTCAAGAAAAAGCCCAACGTCAGGAAA